TCTTATTATCTTGCTTTGAAATTTTGGGGTTTTTTTATCTTCAAAACTTATGTTCTTCAAACCTTCTTTTCTCTTCAAAACTTATGTTATTGGGGGGAGGACTAAAAAAACTTAACAACAAAGGTAATCCAATCAATAAACAGCCAGATGATCTGAATAGACACTTCACAAATAGCCAATAAATTTATGGAAAAAATCCTCAGCATCTTTAGCCATCAGGGACATGCAAATCAAAACTGCATCAAAATTCCATCTCACCTCAGTTAAAATGGCTATTATTAAAAAAAATGCTGGTAAGGTTGCAGAGAAAAAGGAACTCTTATACTCTTGTTAGAAATTAATTAGTACAACCATTATGAAAACAGTATCAAAGTCCTCAAAAAATAAAATAATAGGCCTACCATATGTTCCGTCTATATCATTCCTGATATATATACATATATGTATATACAAATAATATCACTCCTGAGTATATATTTAAAGATATGGAATCAGCCTAATACCTGTCAACACATGAATGGATACAGAAAAGATAGTGTATATGCACAAAGGGGTATTAACTAGTCATAAAGAAGAATGGAATCCTGTAATTTGCAGGAAAATGGATGGAAGTGGATGATATCAAGTTAAGTACAATAAGCTAGACAGAGAAAGATCAGTATCATATTTTTCTCATACATGGATATAAAAAAGGAAATGACCTGAAAGTGGAAGAGTGATTATTGTATCTGAGCAAGTGAAGGGTTACAAGGGAAAAAACAGGCAAGTAGGAAAAGGGAGGGGGACATGATCAAGGCTGGATATATGCATATATGGAAATGCTACAGTGAATCCCATTAATCTGCACAATTAATAATCATAAAACAGGGCTGGGCATATAACTCAGTGGCATAAGCCCCTGCCTGGCAAACGCAAGGTTGTAAGTTCTATCACCGGTACTGCAAAAAAAATAAAATAAAATAAAATAAAAATAATAATAAAACAAAAAATGAAAACTCCTTCAGGCAAGGTAGCGCCAATAGAAAATTATTAACACATCTATTTTTATCAGGAAAAAATTTGTGGCTTAATGAGGGAGTGAATGAAAAAGCTCTCCAAGAAATAATATCATGAAAGACTGTCAGTGATTTAGAAAGACTTACTCAGAGTCTGAATCAAGCATGTCAAAAATTACAAAAATGAAGGTGAGAAATATAAATTCCTTGAGGAAAACATTCCAAATGCCTTTCAAGCAGGATGTGCCCCACCCTTGAATCTTGAACTTGAGTACTGTACGGATTCATACATGCAAACGAGGTTGTTCTGAACTGGAGGTGGTGTGAGTCAGGCTGCAAAGGCCATGCTATGACAGTGGGTTGCCCATGTACGCTATGAACTCATTGATTACACATAGTAGCCCATCAGGCTTATTACTGATGGAATAGTAGCTGAATGACTGTGCCTGTCTGAGTCCTGGCTATTCTTGCACAGCTACCTCTGTTCACAGCACCACACCACTCTTCCATGGAAACTCAACTACTGAAAATGACCAGTGACCCCTGCTCCAGCCAACACAGCCTGCTCATAAAACTCCTAGTATAGGAAGTGGCGTGGGACCAGTGTAACATCAACCGCAGCCACAAAGCTAAGGCGAAGAAGGAAGTTGATGGGGAAAAAAGAAGAACTACTGTCTGTGAGACTCTGATGAAACTCTTGGGTCACCTCCCTAGTGGCATAAAGTATGGGTAGTATGTGCGAATCCTGTACTCTATAGTATGGTTAAATTTTGGTGCTGTATTTGATAAGCAATTTCTTATCCTGTTTCTGTTAAGACTTTAAAATCTGCTAAGATGGAAGAAACCTCAGGGCAGAGTAATTTCTAGAAATATGGGTAATATTTCATTCCCTGTATTATATACCATTCCAGTCAACCAATAATGTCCTCTTTATACATTTTGAATTATAATTTAAAATATAAGAAAAAAGTAAAAAAAAAAAACTGAAAGTTGCCTACCCACAACGTGTTCCATTTGTCACATTCTGGTTGAGGGAGCTGTTGATCCACACTATGGTGTTATTCACACATGCTTTTCCTGGAATCATGAGTTCTTGTATTTCAATGTCATACTCAATAAAAGCATCAGTCATTAAACCAAAAACAAGAATCATTCCTGGCTGGGCCAATCCATGGAGCACTGCACACAAACTTCCAACAAACATCAGCCAAATGTCAGTTGATGAAGAAAATCGAAACTTGAAAAACAAAGAGTTCAGAGATCATCTATGGCCAGGAAGCAGGAGGACAATTTAATTTTAGTTACCAGATTCTGATAAATATATAGTACTCAATGTCAAATTTTATGGGGGTCATCTTAACTAAGCAGTGCAGTTCACATTAATAATTAATAAATAATTTATTTTGAAATAAATTTAAAATTATCTAAACATTAGACTCTTACATTGTTAGATATGGTTCTCTCTGTCCTAATCTCAAAATTCCCTTTAGCTCAGGAGCTGATTTTAGTGTTTTGTTACCCACCCACAACTCAGGGGAAACCATCACCACGATGGATGCCATGGACAAGCGAAGATGGGGCACTGGGCAAGGTAATAAATTGGCTCTCAGAACTGGTAATGACAATGAGGAGTGCCTGTTTGTGCCAGAAATGCCTCTGTCCTGTGCAAATTAAGTACCTAAACTATGGGATTTCTGAAATCTTTTCACAAAACTTAATTTTGATGATGTGGCTATTGTGATGCTTTCATTACTGAAATGATAACCTTGAAGATTACTTTCCAGCAGATTTTGCTGATCTTTTGGACAGAATTTATGTGTTTAGTGAATAATAGGTTTCTAACCAGTATTCAGCGTGTCACCACACAGGTCAAGTATATGACTGAGTAAGCGATCACTGGTTAAAACCTGCCAGTATGGCTAAAGAGTCAGCACTTCCTCCATGCCTGGAGTGATTCACAGTAGCTAATCCAATGCTATGTCAATCAGCACAGTTTTATTACCAGTTGAAAGAAGCCAACTTGTATGCCATCACTTTTCTTCTTATCTTGTAATCTGAAAAAGCAAAAATTTTAAGATCATCCATTCCAGAGCAATGAGAACGTCTCTTTGCATGCCTATTTATGAGTCATTCTTTATTAAGAAAGCCCCCACTGGCAGGAAATGATGACCAAACTCAATGTCTTGAAAACAGCCTTTTAATCTAGAGATTTCAGTAGAACTATACCTACACTCAGTAGAGATTCAGTTAAGATTTTTTGTTTTTGTTTTTGGAGAGGCACTGTGGGAAATTCAAAAGTCCTGGATACTTCCAATTCCACTAACAATTAGCTATTGCCTTCAGCTATGATCTTTGACCTACTTATACCCACATTTCCTTGTGGATAAACTGAGGGTGTTAGAAAAGCTGGTGTTAAATCTTCCTTCTAATACTTATAAGTACTGTGATTTGACAATCACATTAAATAGTTCTGATATGATGGAAAATGCAAGAGCACATTCATAATTTCTTTAAGCGTGAATTTCCTTGGGGTGCTGGGGATATAGCTCAGTGGCATAAGTGCCTGCCTGGCAAAAGCACCTGCCTGGCAAGCATAAGGTCCTGAGTTCGATTCCTGGTACCAAAAAAAAAAGATTGAATTTCCTTGGTATTGTTATTCATCTCTTTTCTCATAAGGTCATGCTTGACTTGTCTTTGACTTCCTCAGCTCCAAGGATCCCCACTTAGATACACTGAGTCACCCATTCCTTGGACGCCTCAAACCTTGCTGTCACCAGGAACTGTTAGAGCTCAGAATATTTTTAATCTCATTGGCTCTGCAGCTGCCCATTCATCCTATTTTCTCAGTTCTTTCCTTCTTCCTCATCTCTTTGTCAACTTCAGTTAGATTGCAATCCTTTTAATCTTCCAGTTACTGACAGTCACTAAACCCCATCAAGATTTCTCTCTTTCCTTGTGTACTCCAAGTCCTACCGCCTAGCATTTGAGCTACATCCCCAAGCCTTTCCCCAAACCCATCCTCAGAAACTCTACGTCTGCCTCCATCTAGCATTTGCACTTCTCCTCCTCAAGCCAGGCTGCTGGGCCTGCTGGAGACGACCTAAGCACCATGAGGACCATAGCTAACACATGCAGTGTGAATCCCTTGGCTGCCCTAATCTTCCTCCCCCATCCACAGCCGAATCTCAAGTCCTCATTGAGACCTCACTCAAGGTTCCTTTTGCTGTGGCCCTGTTAGCTCTCTGACCAGGTCTTCTACTTTACTGCACTCCAGTTCTCAACAACCAATTACCTGGCTTCTTGATGAATTTTGTTCATACTAAATCTGTTCCCACCACTGGATGTTTGCACTTGAGAATCCTTCTCCCAAGTTGTTTTCTTCAGATACCCATAGGGATAGTTACCCTCATATTTTTCAATCTTCCCTCCAAAGTTACCTCAAAAGAGCCTTCCCTGGCCAGGTTCTTTAAAATTTCAACCTCCATCCCAACACATATACATACTATTTTTTATCTTCATTTCCATAATTACTGTTCTTCCTTAGAAAGGAAATGATGTTATCCTTAGGTACAATCCTGCGTGTTTTATTTATTTCTGGTGTTTATTATAGCTCCCTTACTAAAATGCTCTTCTCAAAGGCGGAGATTTTTGTCTACTTTGTTCTTCCTTTGCCCACATTTTCTTTTCTGTACCCTCAGCACCCGTAACAGTGCCTGACAATTTGCAAGCATTCAATGAATATTTGTGAAATGAACAAACTAATGAATGTGTGTTCTTCAGCTTGACCCACAGCACTGAATTTCATCTCTCTACAGATGACTTATATCCCCCTCAGCAGCTTTGCCAAACTTTTACTGTGAATTTTGCATTTCATATTCACCTCCTCTGAGAACAAAAGTACTCACTCCACTCCCTACTCATGCTGTTGTTGCCGTTTATTCACAGCTACACCACTTCCTTTCCCAATCAGTGAAGAACGTGTGGTTCTTTGAGGCTCAGGCTGACCTTATCATTGTAGCCCAAAGCTAATCTTATCACTACCACATCTACCCTCCTTCCTTCCAGGAAGTACTTGCAATTGCTTAAACTTCTAAAATTCCTTCACGTCTCCCACCTTTCCGCCCACCTTCACATCAGAATTCATCAGTGCCTCCCTTCTCTCTTCTAAATTACACCTCTTCCTACCAAAGACTGATACATTGGCGTTTGTTTTATATGAGAATTTGAACTCAAGCTAAAGAGAAATGCCTCATAATTAAATGTAGGTTTCTATTATTCGCCTGTAGGAAGAATTTGTGGTTTGGGGATTTCCTAGTGCTCATGAAATCGCATTGTTTAATTTTCCCCCTGCCCACAAGGCCAGGAGTTCTGTGGTATTCCTAGCTACAAGGGGATTTTTAGACCTAATTCAGAAGGGATTTTTCAAAAGGTTTTTAGAATCACATATAGTAATTTTTTTTAAAGAGAAGAAGAACAGTTTGTGTATACCATTTTATAATAAGTGCAATATACACGCAAGTATTTTCTGCTTTTATAAGAATATGGTAGAATTATTCTAGAAAAGATGCTGCATTATTGAAATTGTCACTTACCTTGGTTTCTTATCATTGTTATCTGTCAGATAAAAGCAATGCATAAAGAAGTTAATATTAATGACAAAATACAACATAATTATTAATAACTTTGCTCTAGAAAATTTTTATAGAGTACTTTTATTTATGGAGCATTACAAAATAATTGTTTGCCTTTTCTCTTTTTGTGCTTTCTTTTTCCCTACCTATATGTGCAACATATATTATAGCAAAGATAGTTTTCAGTCTTTCAGCCTTGACTACATTTCTGGACTTTTCTCCAAAATATTTGTATCTTATGGATATCAAAAGGAGGCCAACATTTCTAAATTATCTGAAGAAAATATGCATTTCTTTATCTATTTCATAGATCACAAATTAACGGGACAATGCCATTAATACGTCCATGTGTGTAAGAGGCATGAGCTGACTACACGTTGCTTTCCCCAGCATGTCAGAGCAGATGTAACATAGGAGGCAAAAGTGGGGCTCCAGGGTCACAGGGGCGGGAAAGCCACAGGGAAACAACCCCTGTGGTGCTTTGTCATGCACTGCCATGGATGCCACATCCTGGTTCCCTGCCGTTTTAATGAATGTAAATAAGAATGAGACAGAACTGAATTAGAATTATGGTTCCTTTTTTTTTTTTTTTTTTTTTTTTTTTTTGAGGCAGGGTCTCGCTATGCACTTCAGGCTGGACTGGAACTCATGAAAATCCTCCTGCCTAAGCCTACCAATTGCTGAGATTATAGGAGTGAGCCAGCACACCTGGCTGTAATCAGTATTTTTTGAGAACACTGAGCCTCAGAATTTCCTCCTTAAAGAATCATCACTATCTTAGTCAGAGAAAATGATTTGACGAA